TTGAAATTCGCATGTAGCAGTGATCACCTCTCTCTCTTTTTATTTTGAGTCTCTGGTGCTACAAAGATGCAGATGCGTGGTTCTAACGTGCTTCTCTTCACGCTATCTTTAATATGTACGAAGCTCGTTTTTTTTTTCGAAGATCCAGGATTCTCTTAGTCTTTCACCTTTTCGTGACTATCACTGATATTCGCATGTGTTGATGTTTACGTCTGATGACATTTGACGCTGTTAAAGTAGTAAAATGTAAATTGGAACGCTTTTCTAGGAAAACATTTTTGGGATCGATAGAATGCGTGAATCAGCAAAGCCACCTGTACGGGGCAAAACCTCACCCTATGGATTTTTCGTGAAAATGTGCTATGAAGAGCATAAAAAGAAGTACCCAAACGAGAATGTTCAGGTTACTGAAATCAGCAAAAAGTGCTCCGAAAAATGGAAGGTAATTTTTTCATCGTTTGACTTGGTATACTGTTAATTCATAGCTTGATTCTCCAGTTATGCATCTCGCAATAACTTTCCCACTCTCATTGGTTAGTGCTACATTAGCTGATGGTCAATCTGCTGGCGATTTGACGTTCGTTTCGTCTCCTGAAAAGCTTAACGGCCCATCCGACAGGGACATTTTGGAGGCAGGACTCTTAGCAATCCTTTTGGGCACCATCACCTCACCTTTAGCACTACCATTCAGCGATAAAGTACCATTTGCATCTTTCTAGATTTTTATCACAACACTTATGGCTTCTTTTATTGGGTTCTTGTATGTTTGGTGTGTTGGCATACAGCAATACTCCCGTACACAGTATGGGAGGGTCCTATTCCGCCAATGGAAAGGCCTATTTCTTTACGACTTTTCTTTTCGTTGTCTTGATATATCGGTGCTGGCACAGTCATGAGCAGTAAGATGAACATCTTGTTTCTGAGTAACGCTCGGAAAGAGCTTGGCAGCGGATGATTGCTGCTGACATGTGTAACCTGCACGGACTGCTTCGGGAATTTTCCCATGAGTGTGGAGGAATAGAGGTTAGCTTTTGCTTTGAGTTTGTTTGATAATTGGCATAAGTCGTGCAGAGCTTAACAGCAGAAATGTGATCAGCTTAGACCCCAGTCATCTGCGAGGCTTCTAGTTTGGGCAAGAAATTAGAAATCTTTCGGTCCAAATTGAGGTATAAATCCATCTATTAGTTTCCGATTAGATGCTTCGGCTTGAAGCGCTGAAGCAAGTCAGAACGCCGAATTAGTGAAGAAAATAAGGAGGAAGCTCTAAAGAGGGCCGCCTGCTGGTGCTTACAAGTTTTTCAAGTACCGCAGGCGGATGTGGGAGATGGGGAAGGAAGGTGAATGTCTTCAGCAGATTGCCATTTCATTAAATCGTGCTTGCAGACGATGTCCGACGATGAGAAGCGAAGGTTTTTTGAGCTGGCACAAAAAGATGCGGAGCGTTACCAGGCAGAAGTGGCCGCATATGGCGGTGAGGACGCCATGCGTAAACGAAAACGCGTCAAGAAAGATCCGAATGCGCCAAAACGAGCGCTGTAAGTGTTTTTGACTAACCGCAGCTCACAGTATGCTTTTTCATCCATGCAGCTGGCAACTTTTCCAGTTGCTCTGACCAGTGGTCAACTTCTGATGTTCGTTTCGTCTTCTCAGTGCAGCAGTTCTTCGACCAAAGGCATCTGGCAGCGCTTTATCTGTTTCTCGAGCGTTGCCACTTCTAGGAGGATTCAGTTATGTGCTTAAATTTTTAAAAGGCTTTTTTTGAAATCAAGCAAGCGTGAATGAAAAAACAAAGGTCTCTGGCAGCAGTATCATGCGTGCGCTTTTATTCGCCCCTCTTGCGATTATTAATTACTATAAGTTTATAGCCCCTGTTTTTCTGATATAATTTTAAAGCTTTTTAAAGGTCGGCATTCTTTTTCTTCTCGCATGACAAGCGACCGGATGTGCAGCAGCAGCATCCTGAATGGAAAGTTGGTCAAGTTGCACAAGAGTTGGGACGATTCTGGAAAGCACTGAGTGACGAGGAGCGTGCAATTTATGAGCGAAAAGCTATGGAGGATAAGGAACGATACGCTGAGGTAAGCATGCATGGATGTAATCTCAATTTTCATTTCGCTGCACTTACAACGAGGTGGTCCCTTATTAGGTTACATGAAAGGCAGTTTTTTGTTGGATTTTGTCACATCTTAGTATTCCAGTAAGAGAGGAATGCAGCTTCTTACCACTCACTGGCGGACTATTGATAATTCTGCCAAGACTTGTTTGGGAGCAAGCTGACAGTTTTCCAGTCTTCTGACATTGTCAGCTCCAAATAAAAGGGTTTTCTTTTTTTTTTTCGTTAGTGAGTAATGTTTTTATGCAATGGATTCGTGTAGACTTGAGCGTCTTTGTACTTGCAACTAGTTGGATAAAAGGAACTCAAAATGGAGAAGGATGAGGAATTTGCCAGCCGCATCAACGGCGAGAAGAAACGCGACCGATGAAACAACAGCTGGTCAAAGTACAGTGGCATTTTTTGCAGATTCTAACCAAACAGTGATTGGTTATTAGTAAAACAACCTTTTCAATCACTGTTTG